TGACGAGCATGTCGTCAACGTAAACTTCCATAGTGTGACCGATCAGTGTAGCGAACATTTTGTTGACAAGGCGTTGATATGTGGCTCCGGCGTTCTTTAATCCAAACGACATCATAGTATAACAATACAAGCCTTGGGCCGAATAGAATGAGGTATGTTCAGAATCTTCAGGATCCATAGGAATCTGATTATAGCCCGAGTAAGCATCCATGAAACTCATCAACTCATGTCCCGACGTTGCATCGACCATATAATCTATATGTGGGAGCGGATAACTATCCTTCGGGCAAGCCTTGTTTAGGTCAGAAAAATCGATACACAATCTCCATAGTCCATTGCTCTTTTTAACAAGAACAGGATTTGAGACCCACGTCGGGTATTTGGCTTCCTTGATGAATTTGTTGTCGATGAGTTTTTTGACTTCTTCTTCTAACACCTTTTGACGATCCGGCCCCAGTTTCCTCCTCTTTTGCACAACAGGCCGGATGGTTTGATCGAGGTTCAACTTGTGGCTAGCGACACCGGGGTCGATGCCCTTCATATCCTCGTGTTTCCAAGCAAAAACATCAGCATTATGTTTGAGAAACGAGATAAGTTCTGACCGAAGTGGTTCTTGAAGATGACTTCCAATACGCAATGATTTGTGGAACACTGGCTCATCAATATAGATCAATTCTACGTCTTCTCCAGGTTCGGCTCGATCACTTCGGTTTTTTTCTTTGAACAAGGCTCTGGGGTCCAACTCGTCTTCTTCCAGTAGTGGCTCCTTCCCAGGCCGGCGACCTCGGTCTTCGGTTAAAGGATCCGAGGTGGAAGGATCGCCAACGTGGTTGTTTGGTTCTTCGGTCACCGCGTCGTCTGAAGCGTGTTGTTGTGGGGAGGCTTCATTAGTACCCATTGAAGTTGAATGAACTCCATTGGATGGGATAAAAGAAACAAGTTCTCGAGCTTCTCTTTGATCTCCGAAGTGGGTTCCCTCTCCTCGGGTTGTCGGGAACTTTAATGCATAGTGAAAGATAGAAACTGCAGCTCGAAGTTTATACAAGGCCGTTCTGCCGATGATGGCGTTGTACTCATTATTAATATCCATAACCTTGAAAGTTTCCATGACGAGTTTGGTGACATTTTCCGAAGTGCCGAATCTGACAGGTAAAGTGATCTCGCCGATAGGCTTTGAAATACTGCCGTTGAACCCTTGTATTTGATCGTTGCAAGGTCGGATTTCGGCGGGATCAAGGCCCATTTTGTCAAAAGCCTTTAACATCAAAATGCTCGAATAGGCCCCAGTATCCACCATGACGCGATGAACTGGAATTCCGCATATAGAGACGGTGATAACAAGCGCATCGGAATGAGGGTGTGCGAAGTGATTAGCATCTTCCATATTAAAGGTTATGGGACAGTTCCGATTGTTGAGAATATCTCTTAAATCGGTAGTGTAGACTTGTTTGCCGGAGTTGTGCGCTTGTCGGGCATATGCCTTGACCTGTCGACGGGATAATGTACTCCGGGGGTTATTGGTATTGACCCGGTGGACAGTGATTTGCATCGGTATAGGAGATCGGTCTCGTTTACGTCCTCGGGAAGTTCCAGCAGAGTTAGAATCGGATGTCTCCGAGGTGAAAACAAACACTTCTTTATCTCCTTGTCGGATGCGTTTTGGCATGGCACCTCGGTCCTCCTCATCGTCTTCATCAAAGGGTTCGATCTGGCGTCCCGGACCTCGCCTCTGGGGATCAGTATTACGGTAAAATTTTCTGAGCTGCGGATGGCCAATCAAACGCAGCAACGCGGCTAACAAACTTAAGCATTCGTCCGTGTTGTGCCCTGGCGACTTATGATAATCACAATACCGGGATTTGTCCAGCTTTTCTTCGGGCATCCGAAGTGGTTTGGGATCTGGTAAGATGCCCTTCCCCTTGATTTCTTCATATATGGTGGCTGCCCCTGCAGAATACACGGTTTGATAACCGGACTTCAAGTCGGTAGCATATTGTTTGCGGGCAGCTCGAACTTCAGGATCATTGGGGTCTCCTCGGGGAGGCCCCCTGAATTGAGTCTTACTTTGCTTGTCGAAAAATTTATTCTTCCTTTTTTCGTCGGTTCCCGCTTTAGAAGACTTCGGGTTAAAGTTAAAATTGGGAACCGACATGGCTTCTTCCACTATGATGTGCTGCTGGGCTCGAGCGAGAAATTCTTGAAAAGTGTTCGGTTTATTTTGGCATAGTGTCCAGCGGAAAATCGAATTCGGTTTCAATCCAGCAATAGCCATGACAAGCAAGGTTTCAGGATGACAAGGTTCCATATTCTGAACTCGGTCATTGAACCGGGCAATATAATCCTTGACACTTTCATCATCTTTTTGAGTGATATTTGCAAGAGATTCTTTTGGGATAAGGCATACTTGAGCCCCGATGAAATGAGATCGGAAAGCCGACCTCAGTTGTTGCCACTTTTAAATTGAATGAGGAGGAAGAGAATGGTACCATTTTTGGGCCCGAGGCCCCAATGTAAGTGAAAACATACGACACCGAAGTGCGTCTGAGGCCCCATGCAGATCCATCCAAGAAATATAATGACCGAGGTGCGAGTCAGGGTCAGATGTTCCATCATATAGCCCGATCTGGGGGACCTTGACTTTTCCAGGTACTGGTTCCGAAGTGAGCTCCGGAGTAAGGGGAGAATCAGCTTCCAAATACACTTGCGCCGAGGTGGAGGCCCGCCGAGGTGGATCTTCAGGTGCCCGTTGCCGACTTTCCAATTCGACTATTCTTCGTCGCATTGTTTCAAGTTCGGATGACTCTTGGCGAGCCCGATTTCGTTCAATATGCTGTCGAAGGTCGTCTGCGCCGGGTTGGAGGGATTTCGGCACTGTGCGTGAGGCGGTGATCGTCGTGAATGACCTGACTGGCTTT